ATCCACCCAGACCTCACTGTGTCATGCGTCTCCCCAGGACAAGCTGTACCAGCCTGAGTACCAGGAAGTGTCCACCGAGCAGCAGCGCGAGGAGATCTCGGGGAAGCTGAGCGCAGCGTCCACCTGGCTGGAGGACGAAGGCTTCGAGGCCAGCACCACAGTGAGGGCCCCCCCACACACCCCCGCAGGGTGGGCGGGAGGGTCTCCCCTCCCTTCCAGGGCAGAGCAAGAAGAGCCATAAAGGGGGGAGCAGGAGGTCAGAGGGATAGTCTAGTGGGCAGGGCGTTACTTGGACGTGCCTGACCTGGGTTCGAACCCTGGCATCCCATATGGTCCCTCCAAGCACCACCCAGAGTGATTCCTGAAGTGCAGAACCAGGAGTTACCTCTGAACATCACTGGGTGTGACCCAAAAACTAAATTAAAAAATATATATACATGGGGGTGGTGGTACTGGCTGTCCTGTCATCCCTGCCCCGCCTTCTCCTGCCTGTCAGATGCTGAAGGAGAAGCTGGCCGAGCTGAGGAAGCTGTGTCAGGGCCTCTTCTTTCGGGTGGAGGAACGCAGGAAGTGGCCCGAGCGCCTCTCTGCCCTCGATAATCTTCTCAATCATTCCAGCATGTTCCTCAAGTGAGCAGCCCAGGCCCCTGTTTCCTCTCAGCTTCCTCACCCCCACCCCCCCACGGCCCCCGACTCGGCCTCCTCCTCCTGGGCTGACTGTCCCCTCTGCTCCCAGGGGCGCCCGGCTCATCCCTGAGATGGACCAGCTCTTCACGGAGGTGGAGATGACGACACTCGAGAAGGTCATCAACGAGACCTGGGTGAGAGCAGCCGCCCGGCCTGTGGAGGGGTCTGTTCTGCTTGAGGACCTGGCCCCCCCTGAGCTGGCCGTGAAAGGGGGTTGTGGAGGTGACAGTGATTTGACAGTGAAATGGCTGGTGTGGGTGGGAATTTGTTAAACGTTTTCGCAGGGGGTGGAGGGGAGGTGGCACCAGGGCTACACCTGAGGGTGCTTAGGAGGCCGTGTGGTTGCAGGGAGCGAGGCAGGCCAGAGCCCTGGGCAGCCGGGCTTCGCCTTGACCCTTTGTGCTCTGACCCTGTGGGGACTATTTTTTGAACCAGAACTCAGAAGTGAGATGGCAAGAATGAGATGATTAAGAGCATCAGTCAGAGTATAGGCAGACAGGTGTGGTTTGGGCCGAGAGAGAGTACAGTGGGTAGGGCGCCTGAGCGTGATCCCTGAGCACTAGCAGGGACCTCCCACCACCAAAACTAGCGAAAAAGGGATTTGGGGTGACCTCGTGGAGACCCTCAAAGGCTGTACTGAGGAAATGGCCCTGGGGGGCTGTGGCTGGCAGGGGAGTGGCCAATGGCCTGGGACCCAGAAACTGCTGTCCCCGTGGCCAGTGCTGAGCCGTGTTGACCTCCCGCCACAGACCTGGAAGAACACAACGGTGGCCGAGCAGGACAAGCTTCCCGCCACCGAGAAGCCTGTGCTGCTCTCCAAGGACATCGAGGCCAAGATGATGGCCCTGGACCGGGAGGTGCAGTACCTGCTCAACAAAGCCAAGTTCAGCAAGCCCCGGCCCCGGCCCAAGGACAAGAACGGCACCCGTGCCGAGGCTCCCCACAACGCAAGTGAGCAGGCCGAGAAGGTCATCCCCCCGGCAGGTGAGACGGGCGCCACGCCTGGTGCTCCGGGCACGACATGGGCTGCTGCTTCCTCCCAGGACTAACAATGTCCCCCGGCTCTCCCTCCAGGCCAGGATGAGGACGCGAAGCCCATTCCAGAACCCGAGAAGGAGGCTGGTGAGTCGGGGAGAGCAGTTGGGCATCTGGGCAGCACTGGGCATCCATAGCCCGTTTCCGGACAGCCCCTGAGTCTGGGGGGGGGGGTTGTGGGGTGTGTGTGTGTGTGTGTGTGTGTGTGTGTATGTGTGTGTGTGTGTGTGTGTGTGTGTGTTGAGTCGGGGAAAGCAGTTGGGCATCTGGGCAGCACTGGGCATCCATAGCCATCCATAACCCGTTTCCGGACAGCCCCTGAGTCTGAGGGGTGTGTGTGTGTGTGTGTGTGTGTGTGTGTGTGTCTGGACAGCCACTGGGCATCCATAGCCATCCATAACCCGTTTCCGGACAGCCCCTGAGTCTGAGTGTGTGTGTGTGTGTGTGTGTGTGTGTGTGTGTGTGTGTGTGTGTTGAGTCGGGGAAAGCAGTTGGGCATCTGGGCAGCACTGGGCATCCATAGCCATCCATAACCCGTTTCCGGACAGCCCCTGAGTCTGAGGGTGTGTGTGTGTGTGTGTGTGTGTGTGTGTGTGTGTGTGTGTGTTGAGTCGGGGAAAGCAGTTGGGCATCTGGGCAGCACTGGGCATCTGTAGCCCGTTTCCGGAGTCTGAGGGGTGTGTGTGTGTGTGTGTCCTGAGTCTGAGAAGTGTGTGTGTGTGTGTGTGTGTGTGTGTGTCCCTAACTGTTTTCGGACAGCCCCTGAGTCTGAGAAACCTCTGTGTGTGTGTGTGTGCATGCGCACGCACGTGTGCATGTGTGTGTCCTGAGTCTGAGAATGTGTGTGTGTGTGTGTGTGTCTGGACAGCCCCTGAGTCTGAGAAGTGTGTGTGTGTGTGTGCGTGTGTGTGTCCGTTCATCTATCCCTGAGTCTGAGAAAGCTGTATGTGTGTGTCCCTGACCGTTTTCTGACAGCCCCCGAGTCTGAGAAACCTCTGTGTGTGTGTGTGTGTCTCTGAGTCTGAGAAAGCTGTGTGTGTGTGTGTGTGTGTGTGTGTGTGTGTGTCTGCATGCTGGCTCACTGACCTTCCTTCCATCTGAGCCAACCTTTCCTTCCCCCCCAAAGCAGGATCCAAAGCAGCAGACGCAGAACCTCTGGAGTTAGGGGGTCCAGGAACATCAGGTGAGTGCACCGGGAAGCCTGCAGGGAGGACCTGGGAGGACCCACCCCCATGCTTTCCCCCGTGTCACCTCTGCCATCCCTTTACCGTCCCCTACTCCCAGCAGACTCGGAGCAGAAGGAGCAACCGGCAGGGCAGAAACAAACTTCGAAGAATGATGAACTATAACGCCTGCCTCCCATTGCCCCCTCCCCCCTCCCCCTTCTACCACCTCTATTTATTAGCCACGGAGGGTTTGGGGGTGCTGCCCTCCGCGGCTGACGTTCCTCTCCTCTCCCCTGTCATCGCAGTGGAGGGGGGAAAGGGAAGAGAGCTCATCATTCCTTCTGGAGCATTCTGTGGTTCAAAATGAAATCGTTCAACTTTCAACCCGCCCCACTTCCCTCCCTACCCATCCAGGCCCTCACCTGGGAAAATCACTATTATGTCTTAACTGCCTGTGGGAAGGGCTGGCCGCGGCCGGCAGGGGGAGGGAGACGCGGGGGTGTCCATCTCCCATCTTCTCTGGCTGTTGTTGCTGCTTCTCTCCTGCGGCGTCCACCCCAAGGGGCCGGCATCGTGAGGGCTGGGCGCCCGGCCTGGGGGCTCACTGCCTCCCTGTGCTCTCTACCCGCCAAACCCCCACCCCACCTTCCTCTTGGAAGTCAGGCCCTTCTCAGCCTTTGCCCAAAGCCCTTTCGTGTGGACCGGCCACAGAACATGTGGATTGGTTTCCACGCCATGTCCACTGGCCCAGTCCCCGTCAGGAGACCATGGAACCCTGGCCACCTGCTGCTGGCCCCACATGCTGGGGAAAGGTCTGGGAGGGGCGGGCATAGAAGCCAGCTTCCTGCCCGTCCCAGGAGCAGGGCACCCCAACTTGGCAAGCTGCCCCCTTCTCTCTTCCGGCGCTCACCGACAGAACCCTCCCCCGCCCAGGCCCTCTGGGCCAACCAAAATGTGCTTTCTACTGTGAGCCCCAACCCAGCGCCCTGGGGTGAAGGTGAAGGCCAGGAGAGGGAAAAGGGGGCGTGGGCACCCTAACTTTTTAGGCATTGCTCTGTTAGTGGGGGCTTTCCCCTCGTGCCCCCCCCTTGGGAACCTGCCCAGCGGTATTCCACCCAGACCAGAGCCAGGCCTGCCCCCTCCAGCGCCCTGGGCAGGGGGGAGCCCACTGACGTCTGTCCTTTGTCCTTTTGCCCTTTTTTTTTTTCTTTTGCCACATTGGCAGAAATGAGACCTAAGGTCCCCCACCTGTGTTTGGTTCTTTCACTGGCAGTTGAGGCTGGTTGGACAGGTTGGAGTCAGATTGTACTTTGCTCCATTGTTAATTGAGAAACTTTCAATAAAAAATATTCTTTTCTACAGCTTCTTTGCCGTGATGTTTCAAAATTTTATTTCCAGGCCGGAGAGATAGCACTGCTAGAAAGTGCTTGACTTGCAGAATGCCAGCTCGGTTCTATCCCCGTCACAGCTTATGGTCGTTCCCCCCACCCCACCCCTGCCCCCCAAGCACCACCGGGCTGATCTCTGAGTCCAGAGCCTGGAGTTATCCCTGAGCACGGGCGGGTGTGGCTCAAAAAGTGAACTATTTCCTGGGGTCTAGAGAGAGTACGGGGCTAAGGTACTTACCTTGCCTGTGGCTGACCCCAGTTCCACCCCCAGTACCATAGAACTTCCAGCAGTGACCCCTGAGCACTGCTGGGGGTGGCCCCAAATTAAAAAGGAAACAAGGTTTCACTGCGGTTAAGACTCAAGAGCACACTAAGTACATCGAGAATCCGGAGTTAGAATTTCGGGTGTAGCCCAGTGCCACGTTCCAGCGTTTTCCTTTGCCCCCGGGAGGTGGAGGGTCACAGCTGGCACTTGGGCCCCTGGTCCCTAAGTACTCGGGCTACTTAGTTTTAATTCTGTCTCCAACACTGCTGATTGTGTCTAATGAGAATAGCCTGCCTCTCTCGCAGGGAAGTCCTCTGAACAGTTTGAGGCGAGCCTAGCCCTAAGGGGCGCTGCTCCCCCCCCTCCCCCGCCCCAGCCCTGCGCGCCCGGGTGGGCAGCTGAGTCCAGCCCTGGGCCGGGCCTAGCTCTCCCGGGGGTGGGGCTCTCGCAGGCCCCGCCCCGGACCCGCGCATGCGCCGACGCGGTGCCGGCGATTCCGGCGCCCGCCTGGGTGCAGGTAGGAACCGTGTGCGGGGAGGGCAGCTGCGTGAGAGCCGGTCCGGCAGGGCCACGCTCGGGTCTGGAGGCTCCCGGCTTGGCGAGCTCAGCTTCCGATGCACCCCGGAGCTGTGCCTGCGACTGCTTCTTGCGGGGCCGGGGCGTCCCCATTCTCGGGTCTGGGGGTCGCACTGAGCAGCACACGCTTCCCTAGGGTGACTCCGCACCCGCGGCTCCTGCTCCCGGCCTCGCGGGGTGCCTGTCCGAGTCCCGAGCTCTGGGTAGCCCGAGGACACCGGGCTGGGCAGGTGCCGAGAGCGGCCGCCTCGCCCTCCCCCTTCTCGCCGGGCTGAGCCGCTGCGGAGGCGCCTCGGCTCCAAGTGCTTTCCCAACGCGTGCAAAAGCCGCGGGCGTGGGGCCGACAGGCGGGGCGCCCGGGCACTGCCGCCTGCACCCCGCCCTGCAAGCCCCCAGCGCGCCTGCCTGGAGCCCTCATTGACGTCACAGAGTAAAGGGGACCGGAGGCGGCCCCAGTGACCCCACCCCCCGCCCTAGTGGGGCTTTCAGGGTAACCCTGCGATCTGAGACAGTTCCCCTCTTACAATAAAGCGTCCTCCCCGCGGGTGTGCCAAGCACTGGGAGTAAAGGGGCTTGAGGTCAACTGCAAAATAAAAGACTTGCAAGTGAGGGTGTTGGCGGTGTTGGCCAGTTCGTGCAGACACTCACCAGCACCTCCTGCAGGCGGGGCCCCGGGATGAATGAGAAGTTGGGGTGAAAGGAGCTGTCTGGAGAGAGCAGCTCTGCTTCGGTCCCACCCCGTTCCCCTGGGCGCCTGCAGGAAGAAGTAATTAGGTTGAGCTTTTAATCACCGCTGCCATGTGGCAGGCAAGGGAGAGGGAAGGCAGGGAGATCCTGGGGGCAACAGGGTCCGCCCCTGCTTCTAGGTGCCTTCCTCTGGGAGCCCCTGCAGGCCCCCCAGCGTGGCTGTCAGTAACCTCCTGTTTTCTCATCTCTCGGGACACTGGGTTCCCTAGGAGCTGCCCCCGGCTTAATGATTGCCCAGAAGGTGGCTATAAAGAGAGGCCGTGCAGCGGAGGGCACCAGGAACGCCTAGCTCAGCAGATCTGGGCCCTGCGGAGCAGCGGGCGAGGGAGTTGGGGGCAGAGGCTCGGCGACCGAGCGGGCCTGGCAGCACCATGGCGGCCCAGGGCTATGGCTACTATCGAACTGTCATCTTCGCGGCCATGTTCGTCGGCTACAGCCTGTACTACTTCAACCGCAAGACCTTCTCCTTTGTCATGACCTCTCTGGTGCAGGAGATCTCTCTGGACAAGGATGACCTGGGTGAGCCCCGGGGGGTGGCTCTGGTGAAATGAATGCTGGTGGCCACATAGAGGGAGGGTCTGGATTCAGCTGGGCCCGGCCTGGGGTGCCCATGTGATCCGTGGGTGGGGGTGGAGCAATGTGCTAGGACAGTTCTCTGCATGTCGGAAGAAGGGTGGTTGCTTTTTTTTTTTTCTTTTTGGGTCACATTCGGCGATGCACAAGGATGACTCCTTCCTGACTGCACTCACGAATTACCCCGGGCAGTGCTCAGGGGACTATATGGGATGCTGGCACCCAGGTCATCCACGTGCAAGGCAAATGCCCTACCCGCTGTGCTATTGCTCCAGCTCCTGGTTGCTTTTTTGGAGGGCTTATGATGCCTGTGAGAATCCCGAGGACCACTGTGGAGAAATTCTGGGTGTGTTAAGGGAGGCTGAGCAGTGTCCATAGCTGGGTGTGTGAGTACTGGGATGAACACAGGGGTGGTTGGAGGTGAGGTGAGGTTGGCACATAGCACCCCAAGGCTTCCCAGGGAAAGCCCCGATCCTCGGCTCCCACACCAGCCCTCACTATTCGGCCGGGGATTAACAGGTGCCAGAGCCCCGGGTTGGCCTGCAGAGGGAGGTGGATGTGACTCCTCTGGAGAGGAGGTGCTTGGTCCCCACCCTGCTGGCCCCTTGGCAGCTGCAGCTGGCGCACTCAGCTGGCACCCTTGGGAGGCTGAAAAGTCATAGGTCAGCCCAAGGCTACTGCTGTGGAGAGGCCTGACTCACAAACAAGCCGCAGGCTGGCACCTCGGCACACCTGCTCGCCACCTTTCCCCCTTTCTCCTGCACCTTGGCCCTGACCCTCACCCCCCAGGGGTCCTTCTCCCCACGCCCCACCCCTGCAGGCCTCATCACCAGCAGCCAGTCGGCAGCCTACGCCATCAGCAAGTTCGTGAGCGGGGTGCTGTCCGACCAGATGAGCGCCCGCTGGCTCTTCTCCTCGGGGCTGCTCCTGGTCGGTCTGGTCAACATCGCCTTCTCCTGGAGCTCCACCGTGTCCATCTTCGCAGTCCTCTGGTTCCTCAACGGCCTGGCACAGGGCCTGGGCTGGCCCCCGTGCGGGAAGGTCCTGCGGAAGGTGAGTGGCCCCTTCCCTGTGTGGGTGGATGGTTCTGGGTGGCCTCGGGGATGATCACAGCGTGCACGAGAGCACCGGCACCCCTCACCCGCCCAGAACCGCCCAGTCGCCTGGTGAATGCCAGCCCGGCTTCACCTGCTGCTCAGTATATTTTAGGAGCTTGAGTGGGGTGGGATCGGGTGGCCGAGGAGGCCCTGCCAACCTGCTTCTCCCTGGAACACCGCTGCCCCGTCAGGGGAACTCCCGGGTCTGTGCACCCCTCCCCAACCCCCCGTGGATGCAGGCTGGGCACCCACTCCGTGTCTGTGTGCCCGCAGTGGTTTGAGCCGTCGCAGTTTGGCACGTGGTGGTCCGTCCTGTCCACCAGCATGAACCTGGCGGGGGGGCTGGGGCCCATCCTGGCCACGGTGCTGGCCCAGAGCTACAGCTGGCGCAGCACGCTCGCCCTGTCGGGGGCGCTGTGCGTGCTCGTCTCCTTCCTCTGCCTCCTGCTCATTCGCAACGAGCCTGCTGACGTTGGCCTCCGCAACCTGGACCCCACACCCTCCAAGGGCAAGCCAGGTGAGCCCCCCAGGCCGACTCTGGAGGGGGTTCAAAGGTTATTGGGCTGTTTTTCTACTCTTTTGGGAGGAGGGCATACCGGCTGTGCTCAGGGCTCACTCCTGGCTCTGCACTCAGGGGTCACTTCTGGCTGGGCTCAGGGGGGACATCTGGGGTGTTGGGATTTGGGTTTGTGGTTTTTTTTAAATTTTTATTAGTAAAACACTATGAGGTACAGTTGTAGACTTACATATTTTTGTGCTTGGGTTTCAGTTATACAATGATTGAGTACCCATCCCTCCACCAGTGCTTATTCTCCACCATCAATGATCCCAGTATCCCTCCCAACTCCCTCTTCCCCCCATCCCACCCCGCCTCTGTGGCTGGGCATTCCCTTTTGTTTTCTCTCTCCTTCTGGGTGCTGTGGTTTGCAAAAGAGGGAGGCCTTGAGTGGCAATCATGTTCGGTCTGCAGTCTACTTTCAGCATGCATCTCCCATCCTGGGAGGATCCTCCCATGGGGCGTTGGGATTTGAACCCATGTTGGCCACGTGCAAGACAAATGCCCGCCTGGTTGTCCTATTGCCCCTGCTTATTGGGCAGATTTTTCTTGAGGACTGGGAGAGTGTGTGGTTTGCCAGTGACTCCAGCCCAGCCAGGACCAGACACGGGCAGAGCCTGCTCCTGCCACCTTCCAGACATTCGCCCTGTTCCCTGGGCCTCAGTTTCTCCTCCCTCCTGGAGGGCGGTGGTGAAGGGAAGAGGGCAGGGCCAAGGGTGAGGGGACACCTTTCTGCTCACCCCTGGCTTGGGCAGATGAACTCTGTCCCTGGGGCTGGTTAATGAGTGGTGGGGGCCCCCAAGCTGCACCTGAGACTGCCCTCCCCCCCCCCGCCAGGCTCCCCGAAGGAAGAGAGCACCCTCCAGGAGCTGCTGCTGTCCCCCTACCTGTGGGTGCTCTCCACTGGCTACCTGGTAGTTTTCGGGGTGAAGACCTGCTGTACCGACTGGGGCCAGTTCTTCCTCATCCAGGAGAAGGGGCAGTCGGCCCTCGTGGGTGAGGCGGATGGGAAGCAGGGCGGGAAAGCAGCACCAGCTTCTCTGCACCCCTCCTTTCCCGTGTCTGAGCACCCCTGCCCCTGGCAGCTCTGGCTGGCTGTCCCCCGCGGGACCCTGCGCCTTTCTGGGTTTTAGCCTTGTTTGGGCGACTGCAGTGGATAACCACGCCCCCTTCTCTCCCCTCCTTCCACCCTCCTCACTGCAGGTAGCTCCTACATGAGCGCCCTGGAAGTGGGGGGCCTTGTGGGCAGCATTGCCGCAGGCTACCTGTCGGACCGGGCCATGGCAAAGGTGAGCAGGCACAGGATGGGACTCAGGAAGGTCCATTACTATCTGCCCAGCCTTCCTGGGCAGGGCTGGGAGAGCTGGGGGAGGTGGGAGAGATCAGGGGTGCCCTCTGCTAGGAACGTGGAGACAGGGTTTCTGAGAAAAGGATCATGATTATTATTCTTTTTTTGTTTGTTTGGGGGCCACACCCAATGGTGCTCAGGGCTTATTCCTGGGCTCTGCACTCAGGGGACCATCTAGGGTGCCAGGAATTGAACCTGGTCGGTAAGGCAAACGCCCCACCTGCTGTACCATCACTCCAGCTCTTGATTATTATGAATTTTTTTTTCTTTTTGGGTTCACACCCAGCGATGGTCAGGGGTTACTCCTTCTTAGCTCTGCACTTGGGAATTACTCCTGGCTATGTTCAGGGGACCATATGGAACGCCAGGGATCGAACCTGGGTCAGCCGCATGCAAGGCAAACGCCCTACCCACTGTGTACTATATCACTCTGGCCCAATTATTGTGATTCTTAATGTGGTGCCAAGGATTCAACCCACGGCCCTTTTTTTTTTTTCCCCTTTTTGATTTTTTTGGTTACACCCAGTGATGCCTAGGAGCTACTCCTGGCTTTGCACTCAGGAATTACTCCTGGCAGTGCTCGTGGGAACCATATGGGATGCTGGGAATCGAACCTAGGTCGGCCACATGCAAGGCAAACACGCTACCCACCGTGCTATTACTCTAGCCCCTCGTGGCCCCACTTATGCAAGTGCAGCCAAGTCACATCTGCAGCGGTCACTCCTAGCTGTGCTGGATCCCTATTCTCCCACGTGCACAACTGTCTTTCAGGCCAGGGGCCTTCCACTATTCCAGCCTGGATCTTTCAGGTGTGTGGACTTTCCAGAAGCCCCAGGAAACTGGGGCGGGGAGGGGCTGAGCGCAGCCAGCCAGCATGTGTCCCTGGCGTGCTGCAGGTAGAGAAAGAGATGTGCGGGACCCTAGCCCTGAGCTTCCCTGGCCGAGAACTGGGGGTCAGAGGATTGCCAAAGCCCTGTCCACAGAGGCCAAGGGTGGGGATTTGCTGCTGCCTCAGGGCCTCACGTTGCTTTTGGGGTGGTGGGGGGGGTTGTCTTATCTGCAGGCCGGTCCGTCCATCTATGGGAACCCCCGCCACGGCCTGCTGCTGTTCATGATGGGAGGCATGGCCGTGTCCATGTACCTCTTCCGGACAACTGTGACTGGGGATGTCCCCAAGGTGAGGAAGAAGGCCTGGCCGGCAGCTGTGGCCCCTGTGTCATGCTCTGTCCCAGCACTGCGGGAGCTCGGTGCCTCCTTTCCGGGCTCGGTGCTACCCTGCCACTCGGCCTGGTGCTCCTCTCTTCCTGTGCTCTAGGATGTTGCGCTCTGGACTCCGGCTCTCCGCCCTCTCGCTGAGCTCTCAGGCTTTACGGAGCACGAGGTGCTTCTCTGTTTCCATCCTGGTTTGTCTCTCCTTCGTCCTGTCCCCTCTGCTGGCCCACTGTCTCTGACGCTGGTGGAATCCTGCCTTTTCCTTTTTCACCCACCTTGGGTTGGTCCAGGGGGCTCCCTATCCTCACACTTTGGGGAGTGGTCTTTATGGTCTCCTTAGTTCAGTTCTTTGTTCCTGCAGGCCATACATTTTTCCTTGCTTTTTTTTTTGGGGGGGGGGGGGAGCCATGCCCAGCAGTGCTCGGAGGAGGGCGCAATGCTGGGGATGGAACCCAGGGTTCCCGCATGCAAAGTGTGACTCCAACCTGGAGCATCTCCACGTTATGCCCTCCTCTCACCGCCGCCCTCCCCCCCCCCCCCCCCCCCGTGCTAACCACCACCCTGCACGGCCCTTGCAGCTCTGGATCCTCATCCTGGGAGCTGTGTTTGGCTTCTCTTCCTACGGTCCCATCGCCTTGTTCGGTGTTATCGCCAACGAGAGCGCCCCTCCCAACCTGTGTGGCACTTCCCATGCCATCGTGGGACTCATGGCCAATGGTGAGTGGTGCCCCCATGTCTCCACCTTCCCCCACGGGCGCCTGAAGCGCCGCAGGCTCCCCTGTGACAGGCCTGTCTCCCCTGACAGTGGGCGGCTTCCTGGCGGGTCTGCCCTTCAGCACCATCGCCAAGCACTACAGCTGGAACACGGCCTTCTGGGTGGCCGAAGTGACCTGCACAGCCTGCACCGTGGCCTTCTTCCTCCTTCGGAACATCCGCACCAAGATGGGCCGCATCCCCAAGAAAGCCGAGTGAAGCAAAGGCACTTTCCGGGACATGCATTTCCCCTGCATAGTGCCAGGGCTGCCCTGGCCAGCTCGGAACCTTCCACTTGCTCTTTCTGGAAGTGACCAGTGGCTAATGAGGCCCCGGCTGCCCATCTTACACACTATTTAATGATCGCCTTTGTCCTCAGACTCCATCAGTTCCTATTTTCTGCCTTCAGAAGCGGGAGTTTTTGTGGTCAGGGAGTCTTCCTTATTCTCCTTCCTGGCCAGGGTTAAGGTCCTGCTGTGGCAGGTTCTGGGGGCCCCCCGTTTGGCCCTAAGGCCTCTCAGTAGGGGCCCCAGCTAAAGCCAGTGGCCCCCATGCCCCCACTCCAGGGCCTGAGGTCACTCAGCAGTGCCCTGTGTCCAGCAAGGGGGTAAAGGTGCCAGGGTAGGGTGACTTGTTATAGATTAAAACTAGATTTGATACTAAATACTGCCAGGAAGTCCTTTCTTTCTTTCTTTTTTTTTTTTTGCGTCACACCTGGCAATGCTCAGGGATCATTCCTGGCTCTGCACTCAGGAATCATTCCTGGTGATGCTCAAGGGGACCCTATGGGATGCTGGGAATTGAACCCGGGTCAGCCACGTGCAAGGCAAACGCCGTACCCGCTGTGCTATCGCTCCAGCCCCAAAGTCCTTCTTTCAACAGTGGTACTGGAGGCCAGACAGCTTCAGAAAGTCTCTTCAGTACCTGTTGAGTCTTCCTTAAAAGACAGGCTTGGCCTCCAGGCCAAGAAAGATGACAGGTAGAAAGAACTTTCTCATTTTGGTTTTGGGCCTCATTTGGTGCTTGGGGGCTTCTCCCGGCTCTGCCCTTCGTGTGTGTGCTGCCAGAGATCCACCGGGCTCCTGCGAGTACAGCTCGCCTCTAGCCCTACATCAGCCCCTCCCTGTGCAGACTCCCCGCCTTCTCGACATCGTCTACATCCGGACTCAGCCTCTTCACCCATGCACACAGCACCTGTCCTGCATACATCCCTAACAGGCCAGAGGCTGACCGGAGGGAGAAGGCAGCACTCCCAGCTCACTGTTGGTGCCAGCAGAAAGCCTGGTTTCAGACTGAGGCAGTCGGTGATGAGCCTGGACATCTGGGGCTGAGTGTCTTGCCAAGTCCCTTGTTTGCAATAGAACGTTCCCCGTGGGCAGGGAGAACGGAGGTGGGTAAGCAGGCATGTCTGGCTGTGGTTGCCACCAGCCAGATTCTAGAGCTGGATTCAAGGCATCGTGCTAAAGTATTTAGTTTTTACTAAAAACGTAGGATCTCACCTTCCCAGAATTCCCTTTTGGCTTTTTTTTTTTTGCTTGTGGGGTCACACCCGATGATGCACAGGGGCCACTCCTGGCTCTGCACTCAGGAATTACTCCTGGCGGTGCTCAGGGGACCATATGGGATGCTGGGAATCAAACCTGGGTCGGCCGCGTGCAAGGCAAACGCCCTACCCGCTGTGCTACCACTCCAGCCCCTCCCTTTTGGCTCTTGCCTCCCCTCCCAAGCCTTTCCTTCCCACGCCACAGGTTAGGACAGCAACACTGAGATCAAAGGGATGTTTATTACACACAGCGCACGAGGGCCCGCCTCGTCATAAATAAAGCTGTACAGAGAGAAAGCAGGCCCAGGACAGACATCGGTGGGGGGGATGAGGGTTAAGGCGTGGGGACTCAGCACGGCATCAGCTCAGCATCTTCCCAGTTTTGGGCGCACTAACACAGTGGCTGGAGTCTCCCTCAGTGGCAGAGCAGGACTACCACAGAAGGACTCTGCTGGACACGTGTACAGGGCTTGCTGCTGGTTCAGCTATGAGCCAGGTCCAAAAGTTCCAGCCTTCTCTGCCACCTCCAGGGCTAACTTCAGGTTCTGGTCAAATAGCTCACACCTAGATCAAGCCCAGGAGGAATCGTTCAGAACACAGATTGAGGGCCAAGGCTCTCTCCTACTGTGGGTGCAGAGGCAGAGCCAGTGAAAACTGCTCTGAAGGGTATGAACTTCAAGGCAAATCCCCCCTCCCGCCCCAAAAAGAACGAGATAGTACAGGGGTAACAGTGTATGGACAGGCTTGTATGCAGTGACCCCAGTTACTCCATGCACCACATATGGTCCTGAGTACCACTGGACGCAGCTCACCTTCCCCCCAACCCCAGAAAAATTGAGTCACTTTTGTTTTTAACTATAAAACTATCACATTTCCAAATGATTCTGAAGCAGTGGAGAGGAGTCAAGGAGGCTTGGTTATGGGCCATGGGCCATGGGCCAACCTACCTGATAGGCATTTCCAGGGAATAGAATGGATTCTTGAGTGCAAAGTCTGAGTAAATCTCATAGATCTTTCGGAGCAGGGAATCTATTCCAGCTTGCCGAGGATCTGCTAGAACCACAAACTTGATCCCTGCAGAATAGTCACCAAACATTAGCCTGTATTCTCAAAGAAGTCACCTGAGCTGGTTGATACTTTATTCTTCTCGCTACATAATGCAGAAAAAGGAAGACTTGGCTTGAAAAAAGCGATTTAGGGGTCCTTCAGCAGGAAGTGCCCAATAGGGGACACTGTAGCTCTCGGTGTCCTGCATTAAGGGGGTGCAGTGCTGGCACTTAGGCTCCAAAAGCCATTTCCAATTACTCTAAGTTTCAAATTCATTTTGGAACAGAACCTTCCAAAATGTACTGCTCCAGGAAATACCACTTAGATGAGTTTTATCTGCACACAAGACACCAAGGGGGCATGCCAGGAGGCAGGGACAAAACTAGCGTCAAATTAAATTTTGGCTGTTTGGAGTCACAAGACCAATCAAAGTGTCCATGCAGTTCTCCCGTGCCACCCCCACCCAGTGCCTCCCCAGGGCTTACCAGTCAGAGTCTGGAAGCAGTGCAATTTGAATGCATCAGTCTCCAGCATCTCAATGCCCGAGCTGCCCTGTTCCGGGGACAGCTGGGAGCCGATCGCGAAGAGCCTATTTGCAAAGGATGTGTGATCAGAGGTTACATCTGGCTCCGTCCTTGGGGCCCATATCTGGTCCAGGGGATCTAAACACGGTCAACCACATTCAAGGCAAGCACTTTAAGATGATGCTACTGAGTGTATGTGTGGGTGGGAGGAGGCACGATAAAAGAAAAAAGAAACATTCTGAGTTTCTGTTTTGGGCTCACTCTCAATTGCTCAAGAGCTCAGGGTGACTCCCAGCAGTGCTCAGAGAACCATGAAGTTCTGAGAACTGAACACTGGGCCTCTCACATGCAAGGCAAGTGCTCTGGCACGGAGCCATATCCCTGGTCCTCCCAGGTCTATTAAAGGGCCAACGCTTCTCTTAAAGGAGGTTGAGTTCTGCTAAACAGTTCACATGAATCCCAAGTTCCTCAAAGCATCACAAAACAGTCAATGTTGAAACTGAGAACGTGGGGACTGAGCAACAGTACAGAGGGCAGGGCGCTTGCCTTGCACGCCACTGATCCGGGTTTGATCTCCTGCATCCTAAATGCCCAACCACCCCCAGCACCTCCAGGAATAATCCCCGAGTATCACAATCACGACCATCCTGTTGTTCGTTGATTGCCTCGAGCAGGCCCCAGTAACGTCTCCTTTGTCCTAACCCTGAGAATTATTTTACAAAGTGCCATATTCGGGTTGAAGAGATAGCACAGCGGGTAGGGCATTTGCCTTGCACGCGGCCAACCCGGGTTCGATTCCCAGGATCCCATATAATCCCCTGAGCACCGCCAGGAGTAACTCCTGAGTGCAGAGCCAGGAGTAACCCCTGTGCATTGCCAGGTGTGACCCAAAAAGAAAAAAAAAGTGCCATATTCAAGGCTCTTTCAGAGTTAGGAGAATGAGACCCTTCATTGTTACTGGTATTTGGCATATTGGGTACGCCACGGGGAGTTTGCCAGACTCTGCCGTGTGGGCAGGTTACATTTGGTAGCCTGCCAGTTTGTCCAATGTGAGAATGAGATAATTCCCGAGTATAAAGCCAGGAATAACCCTTGAGCCTAGCCAGGTGTGGCCGAAAAAAATCAAATCAAACAAAACCCAGAAGGTTCACCCATACTGACCCTGCGGGTAGGGTGTTTGCCTTGCAAACGGCCCACCTGGGTTCGATCCCGGGGCATCCCATAGGGTCCCCCGAACACCACCAGGAGTAATTCCTGACTGCAGAACCAGGAGTAACCCCTGAGCATCGCCTTGTGTGACCAAAAAAAGCCAAAGAAAAACACACACACACTGCGGGACAGTGGGGGCACGACCCGTGGCGCTCTGTGATCAGACACTGCTGGGGACCGTGCGGGGGGCGACGGCCGCGTGCAAGGCAAGGGCCTGAACACTTGCACTCCGGTCCCCAATTTTTCTTAACACAGACCGTGCCACTGACATGGGTGACACCGGCAAGCCCGGCCTCTCGGGGCACGACCCGAACAGCGCACTGACCCCCTGTAGCCTAGGAGCCCAGTGCAAGCGGGCGGGTTGGGGGAACTCACGAGTGGAACATGGAGGCCAACATGAGCTTCTCATTGGAGGTGAGGCGGGGTCGGCCGAATCGGATGGACACCGGGTAATTGCTGGGGTTCGCCAGGTACTCCAGAACCTCCTTCCCGTCGGCCGTGTACTTGCCGTTCACGTCGGAACCATTGATGGCCAGCACGGCGTGGCCCACTGCAGCGGGGAGGCGAGGGGCGAGGGGGGCGAGGGGTGAGCAGAGCCCCCGGCGCCCCCGGCCCACTTCCGCCGCCCGGGCCCGCCCCCCGGCCCCGCGCCCAGCCCACCCCGGATGCCGTCGCGCTGGCCGAAGGCCACCAGCACACGTTCATCGTGTAACTTGAGGAGCAGGTCGAGGGGGTAACTGAAGGTTTTCTCCGCCTCGGCCCGCGGCGCGTAGCTGTCCAACTGGTAAATGAGGCCGCCCGCTTTGTTCACCACATACACACTAAAAATCGCCATCGCCGCCGCCGGGCTGCCAGGACCACTGGGCTCGCCCCCGGCCGCCCCGCCCCTCCCCGCCCCGGAAGCGCTGTCGGGGAATCGCCCCGCCCGGAAGCGCTGTTCGGGAGCCGCCCCGCCCTCTGCCGGCGCGCGTGCGCACTGGGAGGCAGCCGCACGCGCGGGCAGAGAAGTCACTTGGGAGGACTTGATACATTTTCCCGTCGTCTTTTCGTTTTCTCAGGGTCGGGAAGGGCTACGTGTGAGTGAGTGCTTCGCGACCAGAGGCAACGTCCCACGCGCGGCCCACGGGGGCGAGTCGGAAAGAGGGCGCTCCCGGCCCGGCCGCCGCACTTCCGGCAGAGGCCCCGCCCCTTGCCCCGGAAGCTCTCACCACGAGACGAGGTTTCTGGGCTGGGTGGGCAGTGCGGCTTCCTTTTTGTCCGACATCTTAGCGCGGTTGCAGTGCCGGCTGCTGCCCTCCGAGCTTCGCGATGGTGAGTGCGGGATGCGAGGCCGCTGGGGCGTGGGGGACGGGCCGATGCGAGCGCGATTCCGAGGCGGCCCCGGGGGGCGTCCCGCGGAGCTGCCGGGCGGCTTCTCGGGCGGCGGGGCCGTGGCCTCCCCCATGTGCTCCGAGGCTGGCGGCGGGGACGGGGAGCGCGGCGCTGCGTCCCGGCCTGGCCTCATTCTGCTTCTCCTCGTCCGTTACAGCCTCCCAAAGACGACAAGAAAAAGAAAGATGCCGGAAAATCGGCCAAGAAAGACAAAGACCCCGTGAACAAATCTGGGGGCAAGGCGAAAAAGAAGGTAGGAGACTCTCCGCTAACGGATGGGGCGGGGGGGGTCCTTTTCTCCTTGGAGGAGGGAGCGGGTCCTTTTAGTGACTGTTTTTTTGGGCGGTGTTGGGGGTTCGAACCCAGGGACTCGCGTGGAAGCGAACTCTCAGCCTCCAAGCGGCATCCCGGCCAACAGATGGCGTTTAAAGTTACGGGGTCTGCTCAGATCTGTGTTTGTGGTGTTGCAACTTGGTTAGGTTTTCTCTCTCCTTGAAGAAGGGGCAGTTCATACCGCTTGTATATAAAAGGTTCTGCATTGTGGCTCATCCTATATCCCTATTCTTTTCAAGTTTTTAAAAAATTGAGTCTCTTAAATGCTGTTGGTCTCTTAGTCAGAACTCTGTAACTGTGTCTGTGCAAGTGTGCAGCCTTACTCAGTCTCGAGTTGATTTTCCGTGGGCCTGGCGGGAGTCTCCCATTGAGGGTTTGTCTAGCCTGTTGCTTTAGAGTGAGACTTCACCAGGACTTAAATCTTTCCCCTCTTTTTGTTTGAGCAGAAGTGGTCCAAAGGCAAAGTTCGGGACAAGCTCAATAACCTCGTCTTGTTTGACAAAGCCACCTACGACAAGCTCTGCAAGGAAGTCCCCAACTATAAGCTTATCACCCCTGCTGTTGTGTCTGAGAGGCTGAAGATTCGGGGGTCCTTGGCCAGAGCTGCCCTTCAGGAGCTCCTTAGTAAAGGTGAGAGGGGTTTCTGCGGCCCAGCTGCTGGCCACGGCAAGGGGAGTCTTGCTTCAGTGCACATGTCTTGGTTCACCCCCGCTGGGGATCACGTCCAGGTTTCATTGTGTGTAGGGAACCATAATAGAATTCTAATGTGGGATTGAGAGACCAATTGTAAAGTTGGCCTATCAAGACCTTAATTTTTATTGTGTTTTGGTCTTAAGATCTTCTGTCTAGTTCTAACCTGACACGTATGAAAGTAGAAATACTCTGGACTCTCTAGTGTTCGATTCTGCATGTGTGTTGGGGGTTTGTCCTGACTTGGGCACAGCCTGGGGATATGCACCCTCGGTGCAGGGCCAGGAGGGATCCTCAGAGTGGCTCTTGGCTGGTGCCATGTCATTGGAATCCTAGTCTGGCCCCAGTGCCCAGAGCAGGATGGGTCCTGCCAACTGGTCGTATATATGCTCCTTTTCCCCTGGCTGAGTGCAGGTAAAATTTGCCAATAATTCCATATTCTTCACTACTGTGTAAAGTGAATGTTGAGGTGCTGGAGCGATAGCACAGCAGGTAGGGCGTTTGCCTTGTACGAGGCCAACTTGGATTCGATTCCCAGCATCCCACATGGTCCCCTGAGCACTGCCAGGAGTAATTCCGGAGTACATGAGCCAGGAGTAAAGGTAAAGGTAAAGGCCCTCCCGTTGATCGTCGATTTGCTCGAGCGGGCCCAGTAACGTCTCCATTGGAGACTTTGTTGTTACTGTGTCTGGCATATCTAATACTCTCGGTAGCTTGCCGGGCTCTCCGAGAGGGGCGGAGGAATCGAACTCGGGTCGGCCATGTTGGCCGCTTGTAAGGCAAACGCCCTACCCGCTGTGCTATCGCTCCAGGAGTAACCCCTGTGATTTGTCGGGTGTGGCCCAAAAAGCAAAAAATTAAATAAAAAGTAGATAAAGTGAGCATTGAATGATAGCGAGGGCGGGTGGGTGGGTGACAACCCCACCCAGGTTGTGAGCCCAGTTTAGAGGTGGACTGGCAGCTGGGAAGAGCACTATTGTGGGCAGACTTCTTGAGTATCTTTGCACTGCCACTTCAAAACCTTCCTTCATCCACAGGACTTATTAAGCTGGTTTCAAAGCACAGAGCTCAAGTAATTTACACCAGAAACACCAAGGGTGGGGATGCCCCAGCTGCAGGGGAAGATGCGTGAGCAGGTAAGAGTGGGGCCTTGGGGAATGTGGTGGGAGGGGACATCCCTTTGAAAGACTGATAACTTTTTTTTTTTCTGAACAGGTCCCAACTGTACATTTTGAAAAATAAAAACTTTATTAAGTCAAATAAATGGATGTGTGTGTTTCTTCAACAAGGTAACAGCATGTTTGTGGAATCTGTGGGCTTTGAACCTTGCGATGGGTGCCATTAGCTCTTTTTATCCGACTGTCTGTTCCGTGCTGCAGCTTCAGTTTTGAACTGATGCCTGAAAGGGAAGAAGGGAATGAGTGGGCTGAGTTCTGGTGGGATGGGGATGCTGGGGGATGCTGGGCCCTGCTTGCTTACCTTGACTGCCAGCGCCGCCCATTGTTCCAGACTCGCCCAAAAGAGGGCAGCCAGCCCGTGCCTGTGCTGGAACTGTGGTCAAAGTTGGCCCCAACTCGATCCGGGGGCAGTTTCTTTAATTTCTGCTTCTCCTCTAATGACCAGTGAATATATTGTGAATTGTTTGTGAAAGAAGAGTAGATTCCCTTGCTTCTCTTTACTTTTACTTACTTTCTTTAAGGAACTCTTCATAGGAGGGTCCTATTTGTTGGTTCTTGGAGCACTGCTCCTCATCTTGGACCATCCAGGGTGGCGTAGCACCTTCAAGACAGCAGAAGTACAAAGGAAAGCTTCTGAGTGATGTACTTGGGACAAAAGGGTGGGAGATTGAACCTGGGTTTGTTCACATGCAAGACAAGCACCCTCCCTGCTCCCTCCAATACTCTGTTAGCTGAGGGGTGCTAGCTTGTCCAGCTGCAGGTTGCCACCTGCGATGCTAGGGTTGTTGTGATGCCTTTGAGGCACGCTTGCTGTGAAAGGCAAGTTCTCTGCATCTTCAATGGAAGTGTTCAGGATACAAACTCTTCACAACACTATTGTTCGGATCAACTTTCTGTAGGGGCGGGCAGCCCCTGCAACGACCCCCTCTGCCAGGTCAGTGCCACAGCCTGAAGCTGCGTGGCTGCTCATTAAGGTGCCTCACCGGGGGCCTCACCTGAGTGGATGTTGCCAACACCTGGTGTGTCCTGCAGTAAGAAACGGAGGGAAACTAGTTAGAGCGAAGAGCTGATACACAGATCCTTGCAACTAGGGAGGAAGCCAATTTGAAATGCCATGGGCAGAAGATGAACCAGTGTTAGATCTGCAAGGACTGATTGGTGACAGTCCTGGGCTTGGGGGTTAAAGATGGGTGCCTGCCCCACAGACAAGGGCAGTGGGTGATGAGGCTTCTGCTGGACACATCATGGACAGGAGTGGGAGAAGAATGGTTCCTAGTTGGGGCAGGGGTTGACAGGATATGGCGTAGAGTGGCCAGGGCTCTGTACTGGCTCCTGTAAAGGTATACTGTGCATGGTGGACCCTTGGGAGGAAATGTTGCAGACTAGGAAAGCCAGGACACGGGTGTCTGAGAACCTGAGCAACCGTAGCCCTTTCCTGGCTGGTACCTGATGGCCAATGAAGGTTAAAGACTGTCCTGCCTCCATCCAGTCAAACTCAGGGGCTGCTGGCAGGTCCACATAGGAAGGCTGCTGTGAGGTGGTGGCCACGTGGCTGAAAGAGACAAACTCAACTGGCCTATAATGTCGGTCCCAGGACCCCGTCAAGTCACAGGCTGCTTCTAGACCGGGGAAGAAAGCTCACTGGGCCTTTGGCAAGCACAGCACCTGGCTTCAATCCCCAGTATCACTTGGTACCCAGGTGTGGCCCCCAAAACAGTGTTCTCACAAATGGTTAAGTCCCCAACAAAGATCCCTGAAAGTCTTACCTATCAACTGTCCAGTTTCCAGGTGCCGAAGAGCCCTCTTCTGGGTCTGGCACTGCCTGAGGCTGAGTTCGATTCAGGAAAAATAAACGTGTCTCGGATGCTTAAGAGCCTGCCTATTCCCTGCTCCAGCCCTCCAGAAAGGAAACCAGCTGGCATGTGGAGGGTACCCCACCTCCCCAATTCTGCAAACCTGCCTCCCAGCCCTGCCCACGTTGTCACGAGCTGCCCCCCAGCACAGTAAGGGAATTGAAGCCCAGTGCAGAAAGCAAGGAGTCCCGGAGCTGCAGAAGAGCGGGAACCGGGCGAGCCAGGATCAGTGGATTTGGATACTGCTCTGGATCCTCCGTGGGAAACCAACCTCTAAGACAGACCGAACCACCTCCTGCCGGCTCTGCTCCACCTCCCGGATCTGAGCTGCCATCTGTGGGAGAGGGGCTGCTTAGAGAGCTGCCAGCTCACGGGGGCTGAACCCGGCAGAGGCCTTCCTATAACCACCTGTTTGATCATCTCGTCCTCTTTTTCCTCATAGGAATCCAGACTTTTTATCATGGATTTCTTGAAGCTAAAAAGAAAAAGGTCAAGTCAGCCCAGACCCCGGTCCCTGTGGGAAAGTACTTGTAGTAGATCACGGACTTTACAACTCAGAATCAAACAGCACCTGGGTCTCACCCAGATTCACCGTTAACATCCCGCCATGCTGTCTACCCTTGGGTGCTTTGGGGGGGAGAGGTGGGGACAGCTGGTGGTACTGGGGATTGAACCCCAGCCTCCCACATACAAAGGTGTGCACCAGTCTTTAGACAGACCTCCCTAGCCCAATCCTCTCTTTTTTTTTCTTTTTGGGCCACACCCGGCGATGCACAGGGGTTGCTCCTGGTGGTGCTCAGGGGACCATATGGGATGCTGGGAATCAAACCTGGGTCGGCCGCGTGCAAGGCAAACGCCCTACCTGCTGTGCTATCGCTCCAGCCCCCCAATCCTCTCTTTTTGATACACATATTTCTTCTTAGCCAAAACAAAAAGTGTGCTGGAGGGCTGGAGCGATAGCACAGCGGGTAGGGCGTCTGCCTTGCATGCGGCCAACCTGGGTTCGATTCCCAGCATCCTATATGGTCCCCCGGGCACCGCCAGGAGTAACCCCTGTGCATTGCCGGGTGTGACCCAAAAAGCAAAAGAAAGAAAAAAAGTGTGCTGGGGTCAAGCCCATGTCTCCATAAAAGTACGCACTTCACTGCTACCTGGGTCCTGCAGATGCTCTTTGCTGCAGTACCCTGGAGGTGACACATGATGTGCTGGTGCCAGGGATCTCTGAACAGCAGAGTTGCTGGTATCACACTCAGGCATACACGCCCATACTCAGCATGGAGCATGCTCACAAGGCATTTTGCTACTAAGTTTCTCCCTGGGTCTTTAAAGTGCCTTTCGCCGGGGAGGGTATTTGCCTTGCATGCAGCTGACCAGGGCTCGATCCTCAGCATCCCTGAGGGTCCCCCGAGCAACGCCAAGAGTGATTCCTGAGTGCAGAGCCAGGAATAACAACTGTGCATTGCCTGGTGTGACCCAAAAAAAAAAGCCTAAATAAAGTGCATTTCAGAAAATTATGAGCCAAAACTCTGGATAGTTCAGCACACATCAGAGAACAGGAATTATAGGGGCTGGAGCAATAGCACAGCGGGTAGGGCGTTTGCCTTGCACGCAGCCGACCTGGGTTAGATTCCCAGCATCCCATATGGTCCCCTGAGCACTGCCAGGGGTAATTCCTAAGCGCAGAGCCAGTAGTGACCCCTGTGCATTGCCGGGTGTGGCCCAAAAAGGAAGAAAAAAAAAAAAGAACAGGAATTATCTACAAGCCATCACTAGACTACAGGGATGATTCCTTGGGCACTGCAGGGTGGGGCCCCCCAAAACCACAACAACAAATTCAGGTTGGCGGTGTCCCTCAGTCAGTGGTTAAACCACTTGACTTGCATGCATGAATCCCCGGGTTTGATTCCTGGTATCTTATGGTCCCAGAAGTAACCCCTGAGCACCACTGTGTGGGGTCTTGTCCCACTCCCACCTCACTAAAACATTACCAAGTTACATCTCTGGTCACCAGTCCTTTTTGATACTTCTCTGTTTTTAGGCCCAGCATGGCTATGCTCAGATATATACAGAGCCATTTCTGATTCTGCTCAAGGATCACTCCTGGCAGTGCTAGGGATCAAATCCGGGTCAGCAGCATCTTACCCACTGTACTTTCTCCACCTATTTAAGTAGTTGCTTACAGTCAACTTTTTGTTCTGGGGCCATATCCAGTGGTGCTCTGGGGTTACTCCTGGCTCTGCACTCAGGTATCACTTCTGGTGGTGTTTGTGGTACCATAAGTAATGCCCAGGATTGAACTGGGCCATGTGCAAGGAAACTGCCTACCCGCTGTACTATCGCTCTGGTCCCTTACAGTTTTACTACACAATATTCTCTATTTGTTAAGGTAAAGGTAAAGGTAAAGGCCCTCCCGTTGATCGTCGATTTGCTCAAGCGGGCCCAGTAACGTCTCCATTGGAGACTTTGTTGTTACTGTGTTTGGCATATCGAATACTCTCGGTAGCTTGCCGGGCTCTCCGAGAGGGGCGGAGGAATCGAACTCTATTTGTTAAATGCACTGTAAATCCAATCCCCCCAACTGGATTATAAAACCTCCAAGGAGCCGGTCATCTTTTGTTTTGCATCCAGCATTGTGCTTATAATAAACAGCAGGCAGAGACGCCAAGGCTGGAAATCCTTGCCGAGTGGGCAACGACTAGATGCTCCAGTACCAGCATTCACACAGTTAGGTCACCTGACAGCCAGCACTGACCGTGTGTAATCCTGCTGAGAGATCAGAAATTTCTCTTTCATCTGGACCTCGGCCTTGTTCTCCCACCAGAACCTATTGGTTGCTTTCCTGTGCTCTGGGCTGTGAGTGGAGAGAGAAGAGGCAATCTCAGTGCGATCACGGAATGTTCTTTATTTTTAAAATTTTATTTATTTATATATTTTTGCTTTTTGGGTCACACCTGGCGATGCAAAGGGGTTCCTCCTGGCTCTGCACTCAGGAATTACCCGTGGAGGTGCTCAGGGTATGGGATGCTGGGAATCGAACCCGGGTCGGCCCCGTGCAAGGCCCTACCCGCTGTGCTATCGCTCCAGCCCCTCAGGGAATGTTCTTTAGCAGGTAGCTCTTGAGCACCACGAGGTGTGACCCGATCCCCTCCTCACCCCCCCAAAAGAGAGATCCAGGGAGGAGATGAGAGGTAACCCAATTCCCAACTGAACCAGCCAACCCGCTGGGACTGTGGCAATGCCGAGGGCGACTGGATCCATCGGCTCGCCCGGCCCCTGCCCTGGCATCTTCCCTCCCAGCGGCGGCGGGGCAACGACGGAGGGCGCCCCGGGGGCCGGCTCTCACCTGGCCAGGTGCTCCAGCAGCCCGCCGTGCAGCACCGTCAGGTTGGCGTGGCTCAGGTGCTTCCGCACCTCGCAGCTGCAGCACGGACACCAGCAGCGCCGCTCGTGCTCCGGCACGTACCGCTCCACCTGCGCGGCGCGGACAGCCTTGCGCGCGGCCTCCACCTGGGCGCGGCGGGCACTAAGGGTGGCGGCCAAGGGGGTCCTGGGCGCGCGTCCCCCCCCCACCCCCGGGCCCGTCCACCTCTCCGACCTCCACGGCGGCCCCCACCCCCACCCCGAGAGCTCCGCACCTGGGGCAGCAGCCGCTCCAAAGCCACCTTCAGCTGCCGCTGGTGCTTGTGACTGTAAACGTGCCCGCGACCACAGAAGAAGGTCTGGCGGCACAGGGGACAGCGCTGCGCCGGCGCCATGGCCCGCGTCTGGGTACCAGCGCCCGGCAGCCCATCCGCCGTCTTCCGGTGACCCCTGACCCCGCGAGGCGGGTCCGCGGCGCCCCGCGCCCCCGCGCGGCGGGAAGGCGCCACTGCAACCAGGGGCCGCGCAGAGCGTCCCGCCCCCTCCCTACGCGCCCCTGTGCGCATGCGCGGAATGGCCAGCTCGGGTGGTGGACCTGCAGGACCCAGGGTCTGCGCAGGCTACGTCTTCGATGGTAAAAAGACATCGGAGTGGGGAAAGTGCTCGCCCTGCACGAGGCCGGCCCGTGTTCGTTCCCCGGCACCCCATGAAGTTCCCCCCCGATCCCTGAGCACTGCTGGGTGTGGCCCCAAACAAATAAAATCGGAGATACAGGGGCAGGAGCAATAGCACAGCGGGTAAGGCGCCTGCTTTGCAGGCGGCCGACCGGGATTCTATTCCCAGCATCCCATAGGGTCCCGCCAGGAGTAATTCCTGAATGCAGAGCCAGGAATAACCCCTGTGCATCGCCGAGTGTGACCCCCCCCAAAAAAAAATCACAGATACGTGGGGCCTGACAGAAAGGATAGAGGGTGCTTACTGCTTGTGTGAGCACTGCTGAATGTTACCCAAAGATCTGCACGCACCCCCAGCCCACCCTACCCCGCAAAGGACAGCTAGGAAGGAACCTTTGGTGCTGGTATATTGGCATTTTTCAGTCTATGAAAGTCCTGATGAGTTCTTTATACATATCTACATCTGTAGAATTAGGTGGTGGTTTTTTTTTGGGGGGGGGTCAGACACTGCAATGCTCAGGGGTTACTCCTGAGGCTCTGCATTCAGGAATTACTCTTGGCGGTGCTCAGAGAACCATATGGGATGCCGGGGATTGAACCGGGGTTGACTGCATGCTAGGCAAACACCCTCCCCGCTGTTCTATCGCTCTGGCTCCTTGGTGTTTGTTTCCAGGACACACCTCAGTGCTTAGGGGCTGCTCCTTGCTCTGTCGCGTTCGGGAGGGTCCCCCCTCCTAAAAGTGCTGCGGAGATGGAGACGGTGTGAATGGGCCGAAACCCTGCCTCCTGCAGGTCAGGCTCTCTCAGCTTGTAGAGCTCTCGCTCCACCCCTAAATAGTTATTTTATTGGAGTTTTAAAAACTAGGTTATGTAGGGTTTGGTGACATTGAATGAGATGATTCAGATGGTTACTGAAAATTAAATAGAGTTGGTTCCTTGGTTAGTTGTTTTTATTTTTGGTTTTGGGGCCACACCCAGAGGTGCTCAGGGAGCACTCCCAGCTCTGTGCTTGGAGATCACTCTTGGTGGGACTGAGAGGACCACAGGTGATGCCAGGATCAAACGCAGGCTGGCCACATACAAGGCAAAGGCTTTGTAGTATCTATCTGGCCTTGGGGTTTTTTTTTTTTTTAGAATAGAGTGACAGGAATATTATTTAAAATAAAGAAAGGTGAAGCTGGAGAATCGGAGAGAGGTTAAGATGCTTGCTTTGCATATGGTGGGCTGGCATCGCTGATGATTCCCTGAGCAGTTCCAAGTGTGGCTCAACCCCCACCATAACAAAACTGTCCCAAGGATAAATGAATGCCCCCTTAGCTCTTTTTTTGTTTTTTTGAGGCAGGAGCACACCCAATGATGCTCAGGGCTTACTCCTGGCTCTGTGCTCCGGAATGACTCCTGGCAGTGCTTGGAGCGGTGGGGATCGACCCAGCTCAAGGCAAGTGCCCTATGTGCTGTTCCATGCCTCTGGGCCACTTCCCCTCCCGCCCTTTAGCTCTTGCCCGCCCACCTTCCACCCAGATGCCCCTTGGTGATGTGTGCTGACGCTAGTTCCTCGGTCTCTCAGGAGGCTGGGAAGCACCAGACTTTGTCCATGCTGTTTCTCCTCCTTCCATTCTTCACATTTTGTCCAAACCCTTTCCTAGAGCCCTCTGCTCTTCTAGAGTTCTTTTTTTTTTCTTTTTGGGTCACACCTGGCGATGCACAGGTGTTACTCCTGGCTCTGCACTCAGGAATCACTCCTGGTGGAGCTCGGGGGACCCTATAGGATGCTGGGAATTGAACCCGGGTTGGCCGCGTGCAAGGCAAACACCCTACCTGCGGCGCTATCACTCCAGCCCCTAGACTTACAATAAGCTCACTGGCACTGTCTTCCGTTGTTCATCAATTTGCTTGAGTGGGCCCAGTAACATCTCCATTGTGACACTTGTTACTGTGTTTGGCATATCAAATACGCCACAGGGAGCTTGCCAGGCTTTGCCATGCGGGTGAGATACTCTCGGTAGCTTGCCGGGCTCTCCAAGAGGGGCGGAGGAATCGAACTCGGGTCGGCCATGTTGGCCGCTTGCAAGGCAAACGCCCTACCCGCTGTGCTATCGCTCCAGCCCTCACTGGAAGGTTTTCTCTCACTCTTCTCAGCACATCTGATATCTGTTATGTCCATCCAGAGAGAATCACTTGGAATTTCACTGAACCCTTAGCACGCATAGGCCTGGCATAGGGAGTGAAAGAGCGAGGTGAGGAGAAGCTTCTACTCAAGCGCACATGGGCAGAGGCAGGTTTTTCTCTCTGCCCACGAGCCTCTGGTCTTCTTTCCTCCCATCCTGTGGCTTTAGGGGACTCACTTGCTGCGGGGAGCAAACAGAGGGGAGAGGGCAGGGTGGTGGCCCACTGTGGGAGCCCAGGACAGGGATGCTCTCCAGGCTGTATGCAAGGGGGGGGCTCTGGAACTGACCCCCCACCCCTCTGACCACAAAGGCACCCACAGGCCAGGCTGCTGCTGGAGATGAACTTTAATGTGGTGTGGGTGGACTCGTACTCTTTGGGGTCAAAGGTCAAAGAGGAAAGGCATCACATCTGTAAGGAAAGGACAGCGTCAGGGGGCTACAGCCGGGTGCCTGCCCCTCACACAGAGCACTTGGCTTTCTTCCTTCTCCAGGAAGAGACAGGCCCCCTCCGGATGTAGATTCTCCATCATGCTTCCCACGGTGTTCCCAGGCTGCTGGGCTCACAACTGGGGTCTCCTGTACCCGAGTTGTTTCTCCAGGAACCTTGGACCTTCAAAACTCATGCCTGTATATGTACTGGGCAAGGGGTGGGAAGGGAACCCCCTGGTCTCAGACTATTGCTACCCTTACCCTTTAAAAAAATTTTTTTTCTGGGGCTGGAGCCATAGCACAGTGGGTAGGGCGTTTGCCTTGCACGTGGCCAACCTGGGTTCAATCCCCGGCATCCCATATGGTCCCCCAAGCACTGCCAGGAATAATTCCTGAGTGCAGAGCCAGGAATAACCCCTGAGCATTGCTAGGTGTGACCCACACCTAGCAATGCTCAGGGGTTATTCCTGGCTCTGCACTCAGGAATCGCTCCTGCCAGTGCTTGGGGACCCGAGGGGATGCTGGGGCTCAGACCCTGGGTCAGCTGTGTCCAAGGCAAACGCCCTCCCCACTGTACTATGACTCCGGCCTCCATCCCTCTCCTTCCTACAGCTGTCCTTCTCCCCCCATCCCCATCACCCTCAAGATTGCCCCTCACCCCTCAGCCTGGGTCAGGATCTGCTGACCCCCTCCCAGGGACCTCAGGCATGCGGGGGGGGGGGGGGGGGCAGAGGCTGGGGGTAGGGGGGAAATCCCACCTGGCTGGCTCATGCACTTCCGGATGCTCCGCAGCTGAGTGGCGGCCAGGGCATGAACCTCCGCCAGGAACCGAGCGTGGCCCTTCTCCGTGAGCTTCCACAGGCAGCAGCGAGGACGCGGGCTGGCCCCATCCTCGGGGCCGACAGGCACCTTCTCAAAGCTGTCTCGGAAACAGAGGTTGTGGCGGATGGTGTTCTTCCAGCCTTCTGGAGCCGTCCGGAAAAAGGGGAAATGTTGTCTGTGGACAGGGAGGCCCGTAAGGAAAGGCAGGGTTTCTCTGCGAGACGCAGTATCCTGGAGAAGGTTCTCGCCCAGGGGGCCAGAAGCTCAGCACCGCCAAGGGGGCCAGCGGCCAGCACATTGGCACAATGGCTCCCAGCTAATGGCACATGTGGCAAACCCCCGCTGGACACCTGGTACCTGCAAACTCTCAGCTCCTTGACCCAGCCTCGCGGTTCTGTGCCCACCCCCAGCACCTTTCTCCCTGCCTCAGATGCAGGACTCACCCCAGGAATGAGAGCACTTGGAAGTAAGTCTGCCAAGACAAAGGCTAAAGCCAAAAACTCTGGGTCACCCCTCACACCCTGGGAAGTGATGCTCCCCCCATCCACAAGAGCGAGGGGGTGAGTCCCTGGAAAGCACTTGAGGACACGCTGGGAAAACTTCAGGCCACAGCACCCTGAGAGGGAAGGCGGGAAACGAGAGCCAAGTGCATTTATGGGGGCAAGAATTAAGAGAGCGTCCTCGACCCTCAGAAATAAAATCACAGGGTCAGGGCAACAGTACAGCAGGTAGGCTTCTTGCGTTGCACACGGCTGACCTGGGTTTGATCCCCGGCATCCCATATCCCCTAAGCAAAGCCAGAGTGCAGAGCCAGGAGTAAGCTCTGGGCATCGTCAGGTGTAACCCAAAAAGCCAAAACGAAACAAAAAAAGAAATCATTTTTTTCCCATTGAAAAACAAAAAAGTTGAGGTGTGCGTGTGCTTGTGCGTGTGCGTGTGTGTGTGTGTGTGTTTAGTGGGGGGTGTGTCTGAATGTAACAACATGTCAGACTCTCAAGGAACCCTCTAGACGCAGATCCAGGAAAAGCGAACTGAGAATGGATTTCTCCTCTCCTCTCCTTGATGGGAAAACAGAGGCAGGACCCAACACTGGAAGCTCCCAGAACAAGGGCCCTGACCCCCTCCCATGACCCCCCCCCTTCACAGGGCCCCCCCCACCTACCGCGTGAAGCTATAGATCTGCTGCACGTTGAGCCCACAGGGGGCGCTGTTTCTTAACGCCAGGGCAATCAGGTGGAAGTAATTGAGGGGGGGCCTGGCCCAGAGTGGCCCCTCCTGGCTGCAGGTGTGCCGAAGCCTCAGGCCTTGGAGGGGGACCCTTTTGTGGGGGGACAGGAGAGCCACAGAAGAGCTGTC